AAAACAAACAATTGTCTTGAGGAGTTATTTACAAGACAAAGTTTTTCAATACTTATGCTTTCTACATATAATGAAGTATTATGTTTCAGTGTTACGTACATGAATAACTGGCCAACATTTACAATATTTCACACCACATATAAATAAAGTGAGTTGATGACTCTTCATTTCAATTTAATACATCTGTTTTTAGTTTATAAATTTTATTATTTCACATAATTTGTGGATATTTAAAGCTGTAATATTATGAGGTGGAGCTAAAACTGTTGTTTCATCTTGCAAATTGTGTTGTATTATTTGTGCATTTTCTACTACAGCTTAATTTTCTATTTTATTGTTTCTTATGAACCCTTTATGTTAGTTTGACTAATATAAATACTATTACTTTCACTTTTTATTTTATAAATCCCAGTCTTGTATTTTATCTTTAGTATTCCCCAATATTTCCTTTATCTTATTCATAAGTTTAAATATGGGATAAAAGTGTTGTTGTTTCTTAAAACCATTAAATAATTGACTTGTTAGTCCTGGAATATATGAGGTAAACTTACAGTTTCTGTTTTAGTTGTTTCAGAAACAGATTTTAACTTAGTATTTTTAACTAATCCACATAGAGCTGAAATGTGTAAAGCGTTTTTCAGTGGAAGCTGTTGATGGCTTTAATAAATTGTGTAAATATGAAACATTGTATTTTAATTATTTATTTGATTTTGAAAATTACACAAGTGCCAGTTATTCATACTGATTTTTTTAATTTTATATTCAGATTCAAAGACCTTGTTGAAGCCATTGCAGTTAGTAATAGGGATCTGTATCATCAGTAAGTGATATTTCTACTAAAAAAAAAGGTTTAATAATTTCTGTTTGCAAAAAAGTTTTGTTTTATTAGAAAAAAATTATTCCAGTAGAAAAACTGTGTGTTTGTGTATATACAATGAATTTCTCTCATTTTGTTAATTTCATTTTGTACTTGCAGTGTTTCACAGACATGCTTGTATATTATATTATAACAAAACTCGGGATGATTTAGAAATATTTTTTTGAAAAAGAATGGTAAATATTTTTATAACACTAAACTTAAAGATAACAGTTTTGTTATATGTGGAGATTTTATATTGATCTCTGTAAGCTTCATTTAGTTGTTAAGGCTGCCTCTTGTACTTTAACAAATATACTTGAAATCTTTCATACTTATCTCATTAAGTCTGAGAACAACTCACAATCTCAGTAGTTAAAGAACTGTTATTAGAAATAAACGACCTTATAACACCAAATTGTTGATTTTATTTAACTAAACACTTAATGTTTTGCTTTACAGTTTCTTCAGAAGCGTTCACTAATGGTCATTTATTTCAAGTGTTAATATGTCTTCTATACACCAATATGCACTACAGAAATTAAATATGAAAGAATGGTTGAGGAAACAACCAACCAAGACAGAAGGAAAATTTCTTTGATATTTTTCATTCCAGACATTTCATTTTTGGATGGCTTGGCCAGACGGACCTAGCTAATTCAGTTGCAATGAAAGTCCTACCTATTCCTAGTCTTATTGTTGTGGACTCCACTACGTATGAGTATTATCTACCATCTGCTTCAGAAGAAGAAAAGATTCCATCTCCTCAAACCATCATAGCTCTTCTAGACCAGATTCTAAATAAATCAGCAACCGTTTGTAGTATTTCTATTTATCACTTTCAGAAGTTGTGTTTTATTTTGTTTAATTTCAATACAGAAAAAAGAAACATGAAGATGAGTTGTTTTTTTTCCCCATCTTCTTTGGCATGTTATTTTAATTTTTAATAACATCAGGAAGATCTGTTTTGTCCTCAGATTCGTTTGAATTTTAATACTTGTACTTTATATCAGATTTTAAATGTCATTTTTTTATTAATTATAGTTGATGCAAGTGCTGAAGATTTTATCATGTGGGTGATTTATTTTACACAAGCTTGGTGGGATCTTTTACCTTAACTAAGTACAAAGTATATTTACTATTACTAAAAATATTATATGCTGAATAAAAGTTTCCTCATTTATTATGTCCTCACTTAGATGGTGAGATACTAATAGAAATTGTTTCATAGCTTTTTATTGTTTGGAAATATAAAAAAACCTGAAAGGACCAGGTGTTAAGTTATACACATATAAACACAAGTGAGGTGATGAAATCAACAGTTTTCTGAAATGGTACCTTCCCTCCTCTCACAAGATTAGCTTTTCCTGTTTTGTGCTGCCCTCTATATGCAATTTGTTTTCAAAATGTATGCCGCAAGCCTTCCACATCCCTCTTTTTAAATCCAAAGTTCCAACTTGACTCTCACGCAAATCATCATGTGTCAACTTGCCACCAATAGGAGAGCACTACTATCATGTGATGCATGTGACTTCCTCTATGCACCACTACTGAACTATCACTTCTCATTTAGCAATGCTCGAGTGCAGATGTCTTTCTTTAGACCACTTATTACCCTAGAAGTGGTTTAACCTTATTTAATTTAGTTCTACTTCATTTAATTTCATTTCACTTTCATTTGAGAGCATTTGATTTACCCGTGTTTGGCATATATTTTTGGCTGGTTTAGTATCTAGCCTGAATTCTGAAGTCACTGTTACTGCTTCGGGTGCATATAACTCATCTTTTACTGCACTTTTGGCCACAGGCGCGGGCAAACCATAGGGGGATTTCTCGGCCTTTGTTTGTGGGGAGATGGAGCATTATATGGAACACACGTTATCTCCTTCGATGACGAGGAACCCACTTTGAGACTAATAATGGCTGGAGACGGCTTAAATGGGTAATGAAGAAAAACTTTAATATAAGTTTAACATGACAGCAAATGTACAACGTTTCGACAAGGTTTTGTCATCATCAGGTTATCTCCTGTTTGTGCCCTTCTTCTTCCTGTACTTTTTGAGCCTTTTACAGGCTCAGGCTGACAAAATTTTTATCCTCCCCCCCCCCCCCCCCAAACCTGGAGTTTGCTGTACCTTCCTACACCTTCTTGAGGATTCTGTTCATCCCTCATTGACTTTCTCGGAGATTATATCCCTAGTATGTGATGTTTTATCTCTTGCCATAGTTATTTTGACCCACGTCCTTCTTTATTGCTTGTTTCTACCTCTCGACCTTTTCCTCCATTCCTTTATGTTCTGGTTTTGCCACCCAGTTTGATGATGGCATTGGTATGCCTAGTCCCCTGCGGGCTTCAGATCGGGCTCCCAAATTCTGGACCACCAGTTGTGGGTTTAGTTTTACCTGTTTGAGGGGACGGCTCCCAATTTTTCTGTTCATCCTACCTATGCCCTGCTTTCCCACCTTAGACTTCCTCTGACACTCTTTGTAATATCTCGCCTTAATTCTCTTCCTGTCAGAGGCTTTATCACAGGAACCCTATGGGGATTTCTGAGGACATCCTCTCCCTCTTCCCTTCCACTATAGGCCGTGTTTTGTCATTGGCTCTGGCCCTACACACGTGGTTCACTTCTCTTTAGGACTTTTTGGGTTGCGACTCTATCTTTTTGCATTATTATATTGCACACATGGTTTCCTTCTGGGGTTCTCATTCCTGCTTCTTTATCCCATGGCAAACTTCCTCTTCCTGTGATCTTTCCCCCATTACCCTGACCAATTGGATTTATCTTTGGATCCAGTGAGCTTATTCCTCCTTGTCACCCTCCCAACGGGATCTCTTTCACATGTCTTCTCATCAAATCCAACGGCTTACCTTCTCTCTTGCTTCTCATTTTTGTCAGCCATTGGAGGACACATTCATCTCCTACTACTTGCAACACATCACAATTTCTGCTTCCTTGGGGTATTTGCCTGCCACCTGTGGCTAATCTACAGACTTGGTGTGGCTTTGACACAAGGTAGGTCCTTATTTATGCTTTCTTTTCTTTCAGGGGCCCTTGCTTCAACTTGTCTGGCCAGGGATTCTTTTTGAACACTGAATGGGTTCCACATAGATGGTTATAACCATTCTCAGATATATTTCTACTTAAACAAATAAAAGCACAAATGTGCACTGTATGCCATGTTGATTCATGCACTTTGTCCATGGCTTTGTATGTTCACCCTTGAGATGGGGTGTTTCACATGATCACTAGAATGTGAATAACCTTGTGATGTTTGCTTCATAAAAATTACTGTCCTGGACCATAAAGCAGAAGGGGAACACTGCCCATCCCTACCATGCCTGTACTGAATAAGTCAGTATGATCAGCTTTTAAAAATATGGTTTTGTGATCACCCATTGCACTGTCTCAGGTGTAGCAGTCCGTCTGAACTCTCCAATGCACTTCTTTCCCCCTTTCTTCCAGTGGAGTCCTTACCACATACCAGATCTAAGTCACTGAGGTTGTTGACCATGGAGGCAACCTGCTGAATGGGTTCAACAAAGATGTCTATAACCATTAAATTCAGAGTAGTGCGGTGGTGTTCAGCTGGTGTAGAAGGAGTTACAAAATTCTCCAGATGAGTGACACATGCCTGTAGTGAGATGCGTAAATACAGCTCACCCCTCCAATTGGGTGCCCTTCTCCTAACCTTGCGTGGATGTTGGTTCCCAACAAGTGAGGTTTTGGAGATCGAGTGAACCAATTACATAAGTCCTCACACAGGTTTCTGGTCATCCATCTCCCCCCCCCCCTCTCAACTCTGGCTTCTGTGTTGTGGGTCACAAGAAGTCTACGTGGCTTTTTTCTACTTCTGTTCTAGGCATTCCCTCATTTTCAGAATGATGAGGATGTTACAGACCTGTGGATATTTTGGACTAGTTTCACGGTCGCGGGGGTTGATTGCATGCTATTGACTTCCCCAGGATACCGCATGACACATTTCTGGGTCCCTAACTCAGTGCTCATCCTGTGACGTTTCCTGGAGTCAATATTATATGTATATTCATGACTCTAGGGCTTGAGGTGTAGATGGTATGATCCTCATCCTTGTGTGGATGTCAGTACCCAGCGAGTAAGGTTTTGGATGTAGTTGACTTACCGTGCACGGTCCAACGTGCCCTAGCCACTCTACACCATGGGACACATTCTCCATTACCAATTTTCATTACATGGCATTGAGTTTTGTCTGTTTCTCTGATTAGGATCACATAACTGACCTATCCTCTCCCAAGCAGATATACTCCCTTCATATTCCACCATGTTTTGATCCCACCTGTTCATGATGAAGAGATACCTGGTTCAGAAGTGGTGTGGTGCCCCTTCTCAGATCATATGATCTGTTTCTCTCATCTCAAGTGGTGTCCTTTGGATGTTTTTGGGGGATATGCCTGTTCTGCCCTCCGTTCCCTCCTCCTTTTCAATGTGGGATTCAAGCTAAATACGAAAATGTATTTCCAATTGATACTTCCCACCCTTCCTCCTCACAATCTTCTGGTGCTTGTGTCTTCTGCCAAATTTCGAAGTGATAGTTTGGTAGTGGTGCATAGAGGAAGTGACATGCGTCACATGATAGTAATGCTCTAGTATTGGTAAAGAGTTGACGCACGATGATTTGCATGAGGGAAATGTTGGAACTTTGGATTCCAACAGAGGGATGTGGAAGGCTTGTGGCATGCATTTTGGAGAAAGTTCACATGTAGAAGGCAGCACAAAATGGGAAAAGCTAATCTTGTGAGCAGAGGGAAGTACCTATTGGTAATACATTTTCGTATAAGAAAATTATAACTTTCAGACATGTACAGCACAGTTTTATTTTTACTGCAGAATTTCACATTCCTGCCCTATCTCTTATAGGTAAACAGTATGTTAAGTACAGTTAAATCAGTAAGGAATGTTCTCTGTAGAGACAGTGTGGACTATACTTCTTGTGCCAGTGGGGAATATTTTCATTTCGAGAAAGGGATGACTGTATTTCTGGTGCCAGTGAGTAATGGTCTCTGTCGAGACAGTAATGGCTATACTTCTTGGGCTAGTGGGGAACATTTTCTGTAAAGTAGTGCTTCCCAAAATTTGTGCCATAGAAGGGTCTCAGGTGTGCTGTTATTAACTAATTTCTATTTAGTAGAAAAGTTTGGAACATGAAGAGTGTGCCATGAGCTAAAAAAGTTTGGGATGCACTGCTGTAGAAAAGGAGATGGTTATACTTATGGTACCAGTGAAGAATGTTCTCCTTAGAAAATGTGCTGGCTGTACTTATGGTACCAGTGAGGAATGTTCTCCTTAGAGAAAGTGTTGGTTGTACTTATGGTATCAGTGAGGAATGTTCTTCTTAGAGAATGTGCTGGCTGTACTTATGGTACCAGTGAGGAATGTTCACCTTAGAGAAAGTAGTGGCTGTACTTATGGTACCAGTGAGGAATGTTCTCCTTAGAGAAAGTGGTGGCTGTACTTATGGTACCAGTGTGGAATGTTCTCCTTAGAGTAAATGTTGGCTGTACTTATGGTACCAGTGTGGAATGTTTTCCTTAGAGAAAGTGTTGGCAATACTTATGGTACCAGTGAGGAATGTTCATTGTAGAACAGTAATGGGTGTACTTCTGGTGCCACTGTAGAGACAGTGATGATTGTACTTCTGATGCCATTGGGGAATGTTCTGTGTAAAGACAGTAATGACTGTACTAATGGGACCAATTGAGAGTGTTCTGTAGAGACATTAATGTTTTATTTATGGTATCAGTCGGGACTGTTCTCTGTAGAAACAATAGTGGCTTTACTCCTGGTACTATTAAGGAATAGTGTCAGTAGAGACAATAATGTGTTAGTAGGTAATGGTGCATGTAGAGATGGTAATGGCTATATTTCTGGTACCACTGGAGGCTGTATTAATTCCAAGGAACGGGGATTGTTCTCTGTAGAAACAATAGTGGCTTTACTCCTGGTACTATTAAGGAATAGTGTCAGTAGAAACAATAATGTGTTAGTAGGTAATGGTGCATGTAGAGATGGTAATGGCTATATTTCTGGTACCACTGGAGGCTGTATTAATTCCAAGGAACAGGAATTGTTCCTTCTGAAACTAATGGAACTTGTACTTTTTGTTTTTCTTACCCTTCCTTTATACTTTATGCAGTCTTTATTTTCAGAAATTATAGAATTTAAACACAGTATATATAATCAGTTTTGTTTAGAGTTAGATCATTTTTATATACAGTTTTTTTATTGTACAGTTTGTTATTAGTGAGCCGCTAGTTTCAGAATATTTTAAGAAAGCTTTAATATTGGAGTATTGTAGTGGATAGTACTCATTTACCCTTTTTTATTGTCACTTTCTCAGGCTTATGGTGGAAACACTTTGCTTCACAGATTGAAGCGTGCTGCATTTGAAGCAAGTACTTCACTTTCAGTGAGTTAGGAATTTACTTTTATAATCAGTCTATTTCTGTCATCTTTTTATTTGATACATCAATACTTATTTGTAGTATAATTATAAGTCAAAATGTCATTATTTCTCATTAGATGCTTGTAAAATTTATCTTATGAATTGATGTTATTTATTATTGTATTTTCACAAACAATGACGTATGATTTTGATACCATGTTTTACTGAAATCGTAAAAAAGTTCAGTCAACCCCAGTAAGAAGCATTACTATTATTCCATCTATAAAAATTATTAAATGTTATAATGTTGATTTATTTATTAAGTATAGATTGTACACTGTATTTAATTTAAGCTTTGTGTTTGTGTGAGATTTAACGTATCCACGGTTTCGACATTGTTAAAGTTGTCCGTTTTCTATACAGGCAATGTGGAAAGGCAATCCCGTGTTAACAACTGTACTTTTTGGGTTGCCCTTGGGGTTTCTCAGTATAATTATCTACACGTCCTGTTGCAGTGACATCTTAGAAATGTCTGAAGAAGAAGAAGACATTGAAGAGTGTAAGTTAAAATTGGTCTCATTTTTTAGTGGGAGAAAAATGGATTGTATTAAATATGTTATGAAAATTCTAATTGTATCTTGCATTAACTATGTATACTAATTATTAACAGCAATGTTCACTTTTAAAAATACATATTAAAATTGGACCTAATATAATGGTGAATTAAATTACTCCTAACCAAAACTGGCTATGAGATTAACATCATTTTACAAGCTTATACATTTCCAAATTTTACGTTTTACATTTTTATTATGCTTATACCACTTTCTGTGAATTTATAAATTCAAAATTTGAAATGTTTGTAAAAAAACAATTTCAGCATAATTTTGTGGAAAAAGATCAGGGTTAAAATATGGTGATTTTAACCAGTTTTTATTTTGTGTTTAACAGCTCAAAGACACCACAAAAAAGACTAGCAGTCAACCAACTTCCCACTCAGGGTGAAAAGTTATGAACATGAACAGTATTTTGTCATTTATGTTAACAAAACTGAAATGAGATGATAGGAATAATAGAGCTTTATGATATGTATGATAAGCATTTTTTTGTTATTCAGACAAATGCTTTTTTAGATATCTTTACCTGTTCTAATTTTGTAAAAGAAATTCCTTACAGTAATTTTATGCTAATAACTTCTAGCCAAATTATTCTGATTCTTAGACTTACCTTTTGGAAAATACTTCAAGTAGAAACTTCACTTCAGTCAGTTCTTTCAGATAGTTAAAATTCATCATTTCTTTGATTACGTTTAACCATAATTTTACATCATCTAGTGTTTTGTGAAAAATTTTTATTGTGAACATCTTTGTTTTATCAGACTGGGTATAACTTGTGTATTTTCATAATGTTTCAATGGTTTTTCAAGATATATCTGATTTTATTGTCAACTGATTGAGGATATGTAATGGTTTTCACTAGACCCAGCAGAATATATCTGATTTTATTGTCAGTTGATTGTGACTACTTGAAAGTTTTCATCAGATCTAGCAGGACATATTTCAATCTATTGTCAGTTGATTGTGGATATTTAAAAGTTTTCATCAGATCTAGCAGGATATAACAGAGTTTATTGTCAATTGATTGTGGGTATTCAAAAGTTTTCAATAGATCTAGCAGGATATGTCTGAGTTTATTGTCAGTTGATTGTAAGTATTCAAACGTTTTCATCAGATCTAGCAGGATATATCTGAGTTTATTGTCAGTTGATTGTGGGTATTCAAAAGTTTTCATCAGATCTAGCAAGATATATCTGAGTTTATTGTCAGTTGATTGTGGGTATTCAAAAGTTTTCATCAGATCTGGCAGGACATATCTCAATCTATTGTCAGTTGATTGTGGATATTTAAAAGTTTTCATCAAATCTAGCAGGATATATCTCAATCTATTGTCAGTTGATTGTGGATATTTAAAAGTTTTCATCAAATCTAGCAGGATATATCTGAGTTTATTGTCAGTTGATTCTGGATATTTAAAAGTTTTCATCAGATCTAGCAGGATATATCTGAGTTTATTGTCAGTTGATTGTGGATACTTAAAAGTTTTCATCAGATCTAGCAGGATATATCTGAGTTTATTGTCAGTTGATTGTGGGTATTCCAAAGGTTTCCTCAGATCTAGCAGGATATATCTGAGTTTATTGTCAGTTGATTGTGGTAATTTAAAGGATTTCACCAGGTCTAGCAAGTTATATGTGGTTTTATTGTCAACTTATTGTGGGTTTTTAAAGAATTTTACCAAATCTAGCAAGATGTCTGATGTATTCTTAACAGACCAAAAACATGTCAAACTATTCTACCTAATACAGAATAAGGATTCAATCTTGTTTAAGAACATAATTTAATGTGTATTCTGTAAATCAGCTGGTAACACGTTTTAAAGTGATAACTTAATGCTATAGTTTCTTCCATATATCAGCAGTTCACAACTAAAAAGTGTATATTAATTTTGGTGTGTTAATGTCTGCTGTAGTCATGTTCTTAATTAGCAAAGTGATAACTTAATGCTATAGTTTCTTCCATATATTGGCAGTTCACAACTAAAAAGTGTATATTTATCTAGTTGTGTTAATGTCTGCTGTAGTCATGTTCTTAATTAGCAGGGGCTCAGACTTTCATAAATACAGTGTTTAAATTATGAAGTATACAACAAAACACAATATCTGCTGGGAAACCTTTAGTATGTTTTTCACAGTTTTGAATTTCATCCACTCTAACTGATGGAAAATAAATTGTTGGGTGTATGTATTAAGTATCCATAAAAATGGTGAACGTTTTTCACAAAAAATAGTAGAAATACCGATGTTTGTACTTAAATGTGATTTTATTTTCTGTAGTACAATAATTCTTTCTGTAGTTAAAAACAATTGATCCGTATGTGGGAATTCTTTTGTATTTTTAAATCAGTTTGGAAACATTTTTGTAGTTTTTATCTTATTTTCGGTATTAAAATATTTATTTCTTTTAAAAACAATATACTTTTAATAGTTAATTCTTAATTTAAACAATTTCATAAATTATTAAGTGGGATGTTCTTATGACATTGCTAATAATATCTTCATATTAATATTTAGAAATATTACTTGGCAAGACTCAAGACTTCCTTATATTTATACCAATATGTGTAGATCGTTTATTTGTGTGTTGTACAAATATTGAGTTTTATGTACTTTTGTATTATGTTCATGTATTGAATCCAGAGTTGTCTGTGTATTGGTGGTCAGAGCCTGTATTCTAATGTGGGTTTCAACTGTAACTTTCAATTATATATGTATATATGTGAGTGAGAACTGTACATTACTAGGAAGCTTAGCTTTCATTGAAGCATTGATGCTAAATATAAAACATTATATAGCTTATATCTCCAACTTTCCAAAAAAAAACAGCCAAGGACCTGACCCCTGGTGTCCTCATAGCTATTTACAGTCACGTTAATGGTTGGTGTTTCACACCAATAAATCATGGTGTAATTAAAAAGGTGTTGGTATAAAAATATTTTCCTGTTATGATCTAAGCAAACTTTCCAGCTTGCGTAATGGTAATGTTTGATGATTGTTTCCTGTGACTTCCAAAAGCAAGTCATGAAGACTAGTAACAAACTAAAGATCAATTTTTACAGATTTTCTTGTGCATTACCGGGTAACTGTTAAACACTTTATCTTTCATACTTTGGCAGGTTTTCTTTAGCATCAGAAAATAATATGTTCTGAATGTTTGAGCTTAAGTTAGTGTCATATTATGTACAAAAGTTGACCCCTCACATCTGAAAAATATCTCTAGTGTTATTGAGCCAATGGAAACAAAATATATTAATCCAGCAGATGTAAAAATATATATAGATTAGTTAGAAAATTTATGTAGCCAGGCATTCGCACGTACGTCCATGTGTAACATTGAAATTTCAAGGTACAAATTTTCTTTGATATGAAATCTTAACCTTACTGTTGTTTTTTTTTCCCCAAGTAACATTTAGAAAACAAATTGTCTGATCAGAATGTAAATTTTTACAATATTTTACACTGTCAATATGGTTAATTCTTAAAAGAATATATATGCCAAGAGAAGGTTATGATAATGTGCCATTTCAGGCTTAAGTTTCAATACTTTATGGATTAGTTCCATACCTG